ACTGAAGAAGAACTGAAAGGGAATGTTGCGGTCAATTAAATCGTTTTTACATTTCCGTTCAGCATCACAACTGGACTTCTGTGTATATTTGTTTTTAGCGGTAATTAAGCTCCACAACTGCAAAAAAAATGTAGGATTTTGAAATTTCGACGATAATAATAATTTTCGATCATTCAGTTTTAAATCATTTCGACAATAATAATAATAATTTTCGATCATTTTTTAAAGTTTTCTTTTTTATGTTTGTTTGACCTCAAGCAAACGTAGAAAAGAAAAATTTTAAAAATTTCTGTGTTCGGTCATTGGCTTATGATTTTAATTAAGATCGCCATGACAATCTTTCTGGGGATAAACGACGTTTTGATGGTACTGGATCAGGCTCACCCGTCTGACAAAACTTTTCCATGCGGTATGTTTCCAGCTACAGGAGTAGGCTATTAATGCACTATCATATTATTATTTTGTGAACATAACTCACTTTCTATAAAAATGTGCATCGAGAATGCAGTAGCCAGCGCAGACAGGATGAGCAAGCAGGGGCCTGGAGAACAGGGGAAGGAGAGGGAGAGGGGAGACTTATAATGCTAAATCCTCCACAAATCGCATCTGTGTTATTAAGTTTCAGTTTTATTCAGAAATTCAAAACAATGTAACCTTTCAACACAAACAATAAGTTGCGTCATAATGGAAACAAACAGAAATATTATTTCCAGATAACGAGCAACTGGGCATAACACAGCTGGTAGTATCCATCCAAGCCTACCGAGCGCAATTGTTGGTGACCATTCGACCACAGTTGTAATTAAATTCAACGCATCTGCCACCGCCTATAGTAACTCAGTAAATAATTTACAAACGGACTTCAAATTTACAAATCAGTACAAAAGTTCTTAGTCTGCAAAAAACAAATTGATACCAAATTGAAGAGAAGCATATTCATCACCGAATTACGCATTTTCTTATCACCAGCAATAGCAGCAATAACTACTAAATTGCCAACGAGGCCAACAGTTGTTAGTATAACGAATAATGTGCCGAACAGTAGTGCATAAGGAATTGAAACTGTTCGCATTATGCGCTGCAAATATTTTTGTTTGTTATAACTAAAAGCCAACATTAAGCATAATCATAATCGCACTCGTGGTTACTGAATGTATTATTTCAAAAAAAGACAGATAAAGCAAACAGTGCGCTGAAATGATCCGCTTGAACAAATAAATGGAATTATGTGAATGAGAGGAGCTCAAAATAGAGAAGAATGGAGAAGTTGCCAGATGCATCAGGGGCAAAAAGCTACACTGTTATGAAGCAACAGCAAAACAAAGCAAATATTGTAATCATGACACAAAGCAAAATGCGGTAGAAGGAACATGCTACTCGTTTTGTTGGCAAGCGGTGAATGTTGCAAATCAAAATGAGTGGTACTCGCAGAAGCTGACCAAGTGACCTATCAAAAGATTATATGTATTCACAGACACGGGGTATAATAGCGGAAGTGGTGCAGTCAGATTTTCTTCAAGAAGAAGTCTTCATAAAAAGTGGCTGATGTTTGGGATCATGTAATATCAGTAGTTCCAAATTAACAGATTTTAGCTGATATCAAAAAGTCGGAAGTCAAAACCTTCTCCATAAATTAATTTACTCTGAGAGTTAGTGGAGATCAGAAGCAAGCAGAGTGGTAGCATAAGCAAACAGGAACCATCAGCTAGGTAGGGGCGCCAGTATCTCTTTATTCCGAAGGTTTTTTAAAAACAAGTTGATAGCGATGGTGATGTAGATGATCTTACAAATGTCGAAGGGTTGGAGCATAGCGCGGTGAGAAATTACAGTAATGCCATACAGTAGGCAGAAAGTTTGACTTTGCTCTGTGATTTGTTCATTCATTTCGATGTAAATTGGTACTGATATAAATGCCAAGGACTCAACCTTGCCATCAGCCGATTTTAAAAAATCCTCAAAAGAGGGAGCCGTTGAAATTTGCTAATGGATGATTGCTGTTAGCATTTGCTATCTTTCAAAATACTTCGCAAGCGCCTTAGTCTCTCATGGAGTGCGAATGGGGAGAGATTTTTTCTTCACTTTTGAATTGATGCGCTTAGTACAGATGAACCAGGCGAGACGTGCTTGTAGCAATAATAAATGGAATCAGGAACCCTTTCATTCAACTCCCATGTGCGGTCATTTTCCTCGGGTAGATGACCGGAGTGACTGCACATCCTGATCTGAAAACGAGGGCGTGGACGAAAAAGCAGTGCAATTCACAGGTCCGAAAGTGGATAGCATTTTATCACTCGTCTCGCTTGCAGGCTCATTCAGATGGGAAATCTTTATGGCGAGCTAGCACCGCCCATACCAACCAGAAAGCAAACGTTTCGAATCTTAATGATATTTCCCAGGGAAGTGGCTCTCTCGCTAACTTCTGCTGAAAATTATTTCCTTAAAATCAAAAAAGTTTTGATTTTTCGCTGTTTGAATAGCACACGGGCTAGGAACATCCTTGTGAAATTTCAGCCCTCTAGCTTCTGCGGTTGCTGACTTGAATGTAAACGACAAAAACACGCAAACACACCGACAACCTCTCAGCAATATGCCTTTTTGCACTTGCATAAGGATGCGAAAACGGTGTACATTTAAAATATTAATCAGAGCATTTCAGATGTACATTAAAAAATGCTATTAATCAGAAAATTTTTGAGATGTCTTTAGGGACTTAAAAAATTGTATCAAAAACTGTAATATCACACTAGGAAATGACTTGCATAAAATACCGTGTAATTCCTAAAAAGTGCATCTCCGGTGTGGTACTTCGCCAATAGTCTAGGACTGGCAGCATTCGAGATAAGGTACTGATGCAGGATACTCAACGAGTTATTTCTCGAAGCGGCTAAAGCTTTACCAGGGGTCGCTGAACTGATAAGTAATCCTTTCAAGAGACGAAAGGATTGTCAGAATCGTCAACAGCAAGCTGAGCAGTAGTTGGTTGGTGCATAATTGATTAAAGCTATTAAAAAAGTCCAGCTAAAGTATTGAAAAACCGAGTGCAACTAATTTTATTCAAAGTTACAACTAATCTAAGTTCCTTGCAGAAACATTTTCAGCGCTGGAATCAAAAAGTGAATACTCCTAAATAATTTTGAAGAAAAAGCTTTTTTTTTTGTCAGAGAGTGAGGAACAGTCTTTGCTTCTGGCTTTAATGGAGCAAAAAGTTGTTTTGCAAAGCTGCTCTGCTTGCAAACACTCTACAGAAAATGAGCAAGCAAGAAGGCGGAAAGTTGAAAAAAAAGCAATTTTCCTGAAGGATATCTCAGGATGGCTCGTTTTTTCTCAAAACTGTTGCAGAGGAAGTTGAAAGTACCGGAATGCAGTGCTAGCCCACACAGAGCTTTAATAGACTGAGTTTGAGAAAAACTGCCGAACTAGTAAATCTTGCGGGAGGCGAAACGACCATTAGGTTCGGCATCAAACTGACTAGCAGTACAAGCGGCACTGGCCTAAGAAAGTGAAAAAATTTCTAGCAACTCAGTTTTAAAGCCAGAATATGATTTAACAGCTGTTCCAATGTAGCAGATATACTCAGGCATGCAGTAATATCAGTTTACTGTCAAAATGTGTCAATTTCGATTTGCCAAGACGTATCAACAAACTGCAAGGAAACTGAACGCTCCTGCCAATCAGTCAGTCTATGAAACAGAGGAAAAATCGGTTTTGGAATCCACAAGGCGCAACATTTTCCATGAGAAAGAGCTAGTAATTCTGACATTAAAAATTATTTCATACACAACTTGAAAAAAGTATTGAAATATCACTATTTAAGACTTTTATTTATTTAAATTTGGATAATTGCCCAATGCACGGGTTGCCCGTGTGAAGATACGTTTTTAGCAATAGCTCACCGCAGATTTTTGTCGCTAACGGCACTGTTTTTTCCGGCAGATGACTCTAGCTAAAAGAATTTCAGACTGGCTGCCAGGACTGCCAGGAAAATTCCTTTTAAAATTTCAGTTTTCTACCATCTCACGTTCCCGAGTTATCAAATTATCCGAAAAAAATTTGGTAGGCCCGTATGTGGATACTACGCATTCCCGGTGTCTAGGTTTGTGTTCAGTGGGACTTTGGCGGACGAGAAATATCCTTTTAAAATTACGTCCCTCTGGCTTTTCATATTCTTGAATAGCGATTTATCCGAAAAAACTTTTGGCGGGCCCGTGCCTAGGTACAGCGCATACCCGGTGTCTGGATTTGAGCTCGTTGAAACTTACGTGGACAGCAAACATTCCCTTAAATTTACAGCCTTCTAACTTTTCGTTTTCCCGAACTAGCAGCTTACCCGAGAAAAACTTTGACTAGCCCGTACGTGGGTACCACGTGAGTAAGAGCGCCCATTTTGGAAATGGGGGCCCGTACGTGCATGTTGATTAAGTTTCCAAAGTTTCAGCCTTGCAGCTTTTGTAGGTCTAGAGATGAAAAATCCGTACAGAGGCCCAGCGCGCACACTCACACGCACACACACACACACACACACACACACACACACACACATACAGTCACATACACTCAGACAGCCTCTCGTCAACATGCTTCTTCTGCTTTACATAGCTGCAGAAAACGCATAATAAAGACGCAAAAACTTCTTTTTCGAAGATATGTGATTAGAAAATTTGAAGTAGCTTTAAAAATTGCGATGCAGAATCTTCTTCAGTTCTCTTTATTACAAATTCCGTTAGGATGCGAAATATGAAAATATGTTTAGTGAGGAGGTTAGAGGTGATCGAACGAATCATGTTACAAAGTATGGTAGATGTCAGCATGTTGCAGCACATCCTCAATGTAATTTCACTGCAAGTTCGTTTTGGCAATAGCGGCGTTGTCAAGGCAGTATAACCTTGAAAGGAAAGCTGGGACGATCAGAAGGATTTGGGATTAATTACAGTTGGAAACTGAACAAATCGACGAAGGCTCCTGGTGAAGGTGAAATCAAGGTGAAATCAAGCCATACTGGCCTTGTCATATTCACGTAACTTCGCTCCTACCGAAGTGAGGTTACTTGAATATGACAAGACCAGTGAAACTTACTTTAGAATCTTGCAACTTCCAACTCCGAAAATAGCTTACTGTAACACGATAGTAAGCGCTATTGACGAATTATAACCAAAAGAAGGAGGCGGGGAAGAAGGAGGACGACAGAGATGGAAAAGAGGCATGCAGTTGCGATCATAGGAACTGTATTTTGAATTTCAAATTTCGTCATGCGATTGGTAGATCATTTTAATTGGCTTTCTAGAATACATCATTTTTTGCGCTTCTTGAGGTTTAGCGTGATGGTGCAGTGACAGAAATAGGGACTTTAAAAAACAAATATATTTAATATAAGATTTGAATTTTCCGTTGATAAATTACTGAAACTTTCAAACAAGCATATTTTCAAATATTTCCAAGTACAACTGAAGTTTTCAAATGAGCACAATTGATATAAATTAGTATTGCATCTAGATACCGGCTAATTAAAATTAATGGATAGTACCTATGCAACGTTAAAAAAACACAAGATATTTGTTAGTGCGGTGGAAAGACTCTTTGCAGAACAGTATTGGAACTGTGCAGATGAATGGGGTTCAGAGTAGAGAACGAAGTTGCCAGATGCATTAATGCCAATAATAAGACAAAAACAGATTACAGTACCACAATAGAGTGCGGTCAGAAGTTTTTTAAAGGAGAAACGCCTTCGGCAGATTTTTGCTGTTATTATAGAATTGCTAATAATTAGCTGAAAATCGTGCGGGGATATGTAATTTATCACTAATCCGGACTGAGGGAAGACTGAAAGAGCTACTAAGCTCGAATTCGCTAGATAATCAGCAAAAGTCGTGGTTTCCCTATTAAGCTAGATCTTCGTGCGATGAGACCACTGAATCCTCACAATTAAGCCGCTGATGTTGACAAAAACACTGTCATTAACTTTCGTAGTGTACACTCAATTCCCTCTGAAATAAATTGTCGTGCGAGATTTAAGACTAAATAATACCTTCAAAAGTCAACTTCTGGGGATGCCATTTTTCTACGAGGAAAGGAAACTCCCTC